CGGCGGGTGGCTGGCTGGAGCCGTGCCAGGTGCAGGGTCTGCTGGCTGGGTGCTGGCAGGCTTGCACCTGGCACAGGCACCATAGCCAGCCCGTGCCCCTTTAAGGGGTCCGGGGCCGGGAGGGGGCAGTAGAGTTTCCCTGGTGTTGGCCAGAGTGGCCACCAGGGAAAGCTGGGGAGGGCTAGCCTCCCACTAGTTCGAATTAAGGGGCTACACACCCCTTAATTCGAACTAGTAAGTTCGAACTAGGCGTTAGTCCTCGTACAATGAGATTTACCTAGTTCGAATTAAGCACTCCGCTAGTTCGAATTAAGTTTGAACTAGCGGTTTGCCTGTGTAGCACCTATTAAAGTTAATTCGAACTAACAGCTGTTAGTTCAAACTACTTTGTAGTGTAGACATACCCAAAGAGAAGAACACAAGTGGAGAAACAATAGTCAAAGCAGTTAATTGAACTCTGAACCCACTACAACAAAGAAGCCAAAGACTGGTAAGCAGATCTTAGTCCAATCATCAAATAAACACACAAAACAATAACAAGAAGCAACAGAAGGACACAGGTGATGTTGCTACAGGCACAGGAAAGAAGTGGAAATGAAACCAAAGACAACTGTTCAATACAGGCGGATTCTCAGAACACCCAGACAGACAAGGCCAGAACCAGAAGACATAAAACAAGCCTCAGCCATCAGCTGATCTGTTGTAAGAGAGTCAGCAGAAATGAGGGATGTAAGCAATAGAGAGAGGCAAAGGAATGAAGTCAACAAGAGCATAGAAGTAAGTCTCTCACCAAGAGCGATAACACAAAAAAGAAGTGGGTGGAGTTCTAGAAAATGGTACATGAAACACTGTTCCTGTTCCTTTCACTAGTCATCACAGCTGAACCAATGTGCAGGGTGTCATAATGTGATGATGGTATAGACCAGCAGCAAATAATTATGCAGTGGAGGCAATGGCTTTGTCCTTGGAGCATAGTGAAAACAGGGGAGGCATTTTGAATCACAGGTATATCCCTGAGTCAGAGTATCTCCCAGGGTTAATCCAGCAGAGGCTGATGCAGTTTATGCATTCCCCCAGCTCCCCCCACACCTCATTGCTCTAGGATCACTACTGTGAGTAAGGGTTTGGCAGTGTGATTCTGTGCAAGCCGGCTAGCATGTTGTGGTCGTATTTCTCTGTTACCAGTCTACCACTGTCAGGGCCCTGGGCTGAGAAGCAGTGGAGCGAGAGAGCCTGCATCCTCTTACCCCTGCCACCACCATCAGGGGTGGCAACCTCCCCCATTTTGTGGCCAGGAGGCCTGTCCTGGTCTTGCCCCACCTGAACTAGGGCACCAGAGGGCTGACACTCTCTCCAGGGAATTAATTTCTCCCAGAACTAAATTGATTGCCACCCTGATTGCAGGCTCTGGGGCAAATAAACCCCACTGTTGTTCAGCCTGATGGCAGGCCAGAGCCTCTGAACTGAACTGTTCGTCACCTTGCCTGGAACCTGGGCAAGTAAACTCCTGTCTGCTTTACCTAACTGACTTGATTATTGCCCTGCCCTGGGTGAGGATCTTGAACCTAGAGACTTATCATCCATGGCCTGACTGCAAGGCTGGAGTTAATTTCCCCTGAACCAAAGGACTCTGGTAGTGTCATAGTGAGGGGATGTGGTCTCTCTCCCTGACAGACAGGGAGACAGCTGTAACATCTTATAGCTCTGTAGTGCATTTTGATCTACTGTTGTTTTCAGGGTTGCAGGATTTGGCCTATATCTTTTGTGCCAGCAATAGCACTGAATATTTCCTACTATTTATTATTTTGTTTGCTTTTTCATGGTAAGTCTGTTTGAATTGGGTTGCTTCAGGGATTCCCATCCCATTGCCCTCCAAATTCCAGACAGCCCAGTTAATAAATATTCCTAACTCTAGGCAGTCCAAGTCACAAATTAGATTATTCTTCTTAAATTCATTTATTCAATCACTTGAATTAATCTTCCATTGTTTTATTTTTCTTGTACACCACAGCAGAAAACAGGAATCTACAATTTCAGTCCCTCCAGGCTGAACACATCCACAGCTTCACACAAGGTGCCAAAATGTTGGATTTCTATTTTCTTCCTCAACCTGCAAGGAAAATAAAGTAATGGAAACCTAATTCTAGTGAGTGTGGGAATGAATCTAAGGGTAATCTAAGGAAAGATTTGTTTTGAAAGTCCAGAGATATGAATGTTTGTTTCATCTCTTCGGGTCCAGACGATTACTTTGTGTTCCTTTCCTGGAGTGGCTCCACACTGCTCCCTGATATCACTGGCTGGTTCTTTTTGTATGCTTGTATTCATAAGTCCTGCCAGCAATTACAGGTTTCTGTATTTACAAATGGGTTCTTTGACCTAGTTTGGAGATTAAGAGTTTGATTCTTCTCTCACTTACACTGATTTTAGACCGGTGTCATTCCTTTGCCCTCAATGTATTCACTACCAATTTTTGATGGGTTATAATTAAAGGAAAGAGGGAAGAAATACAAAGAGTATGAAAGGAAAGTCAGGAGTTTGCTGGTTGTGGTTTTGGGTCTATATGCAGTTCCTGGTGCTAGAATCATGCCTTGCATTCTGCACTCTTTTCTGTTGATTATCTGTCTTGGATAGCCACATTGCCCTGTAATGCCATTGACGGATAGGTTTATATATACCATAGCTGGCAGAGCTTTGCATAATTTTTACTGCCTTGGAAAGAGTAGTTTTAAAAAATGAATTTTCACTAGAGATCAAATTCACAATGTTGCTATTTCTGCTGCATTTGCTAAAGGAAATGACTATTTTGCCCTGGATCAAATTTGCAGTTAATCCCTTAAACATCATTCTTGTTATACCTGACATGGTAATATATCTGTTTCCAAGCATGCCTTTTTCTGGAAGTGGTAATATTTTGCATGTGGTACAGAGCCATAGAAAGTAGTCTGTCTGGGAAAATTGAAAAATATACTAATGGCAAAAAAGGGAACGAGGAAGTCTGCAGAAAGGCCTCAAATCTATAAATATGTATGGAAGGTTTTTATCAGTCGGTGGAGTTTCTCCTTTAAAAATCCTGCACTGGGCTTTTGTCTTGGAGATAAAATATTAACCTTAGGGTACCTTCTACATATTAGAAAATCTCAATACGAAAATAAAATGTGACAACACTCTTCAGATTAGTGGAGCAGGAAAAACAATTGCAATGAAGAAAATTGTGGTTGGAAAGTAAACCAGTCCCTTGGATCTCATTTGGATCATGTACTGTATGGATGTCCTTATGTCCTGCTTTTTAAAGCACTTCTGAGTTAAAGAACACGGGTCAAGTCCTGGCAATACAGGCAGTCCCCGGGATACGTACAAGATAGGGACTGTAGGTTTGTTCTTAAGTTGAATCTGTATGTAAGTCAGAACTGGCGTCAGCCGCTGCTGAAACTGATCAGTTTCAACCGCGGCTGAATCTGGATGCCAGTTCTGACTTACATACAGATTCAACTTAAGAAACCCAGGCGTCCCTAAGTCAGCTGCTGCTGAAACTGATCAGTGGCTGATTCCAGGAAGCCTGGGGCAGAGCAACTCTGCCTCGGGCTTCCTGTAGTCAGCCGCTGGTCAGTTTCAGCAGCGGCTGACTTGGGGACGCCTGGGGCAGAGCAGCTGGGGTGCTGCCGGGTTGGTCTGGAGCGGTGCTGCGGGACCAACCCAGCAGCCCCCAGCTGCTCTACCCCAGGGGTAGGCAAGAAAAGCCTGGTCTGCTGGGTGGGGGGGCACTAGCTGCACCCCCCTCCCAGCAGACCAGGGAGATGGGGGTGGCAGGACAGCCCAAGTCCTCCACGGCTTTGCTCCGTCTCCCTGGTCTCCCTGGGCTGTCCCACTACGGGCGTGCTCCGAGGCTTTGCTCCCCATCTCCCTGTTCTGCTGGTCAGGAGACGGGGAGCAAAGCCTTGGAGCACGCCCGCAGCGGGACAGCCCGGGCGCGCTTGAGCTGTCCCCCTGCGGGCGTGCTCCAAGGCTTTGCTCCCCGTCTCCTGACCAGCAGAACAGGGAGATGGGGAGCAAAGCCTCGGAGCACGCCCGTAGTGGGACAGCCCAAGCGCGCCTGGGCTGTTCCGCTGCGGGCGTGCTCCAAGGCTTTGCTCCCCGTCTCCTGACCAGCAGAACAGGGAGATGGGGAGCAAAGCCTCGGAGCACGCCCGTAGTGGGACAGCCCAAGCGCGCCTGGGCTGTTCCGCTGCGGGCGTGCTCCAAGGCTTTGCTCCTCGTCTCCCTGCAGACCAGGGAGACGGGGAGCAGCTTTTCTCGCCCCGGAGGACGGGGGTGGCGGACCGCGGCGCATCTGGGCGTCCCACCACTCCCGTCCTCCGGGGCGAGAAAAGGCCCATTCGTAACTGCGGATCCGACATAAGTCGGATCCGCGTAACTTGGGGACTGCCTGTATTGAAGACAGTGAGGCCAAGATTTCACCCACTAACTCTAAGCCCAAATCTTCAGCCTGTGCCTGCCAATTGTACTGATTTAACTAGCACAATAGCACATGCCACACTGTGCTGATTCTGTAAGTGAACTTCATCATCATCTTTTTGTCTCAGAAGTTCAGAACTACAAGAATACCACCCCTTGCCTCCTTTGTATAGAATAGACTTCATTCAAACTATGCTGGTTTACACCAGTTGAGGCTGAGCTAAAGACAAAGCCTATCCCCCTCTTCTCAATTTTAATTGAGAAAGCAGATTCAGAGAGTAGATATTGGCTCAGAAAAACAGAGGTATACAAGACTGAATTTTCCTTTGTTCTTGATATTAACTTGAAATGTTTTTCCTCCTATGAACTCTGACTTGTCATGGTTGGAAAATCACTATATCAAGTAACTACAGATGCTATGCAGCACATATTACATGGCTTGTAAGTTGCATAACTGGCTTTATTTCTTTAAAAAATCATTTAATAGAATTTCAGCTAGCCAGTGTACCCCTTTTTTAATGCAGGCTCATAAGTTTGGGTTAAAATTAAAAGTGGGGTATTTTTCAGTGCACAACCTCTCTTCACTTCTCCGAGGCCAGGCAAATGCTGACTCATCAAAGCAAACAAATGAAATAAAATAGGATTTTCTTGTCACTGTAAAAATGAAAATGTATGCTAAAAAAGAAAAATGAAAGTTTTTTTTCCAAACTTAATTTATGGTTTCTGAAATGGACTAGAGACCTCCCAAATTCAAGTAATTTTAGCCACAGAATGGAAGGTGATGAGTAGCAACTATCCATGCTTTGCACAACGTCCCTTATTTCTGGCCTTCTGGTCACACCTGTAACGAAAAGAGGGAATTTGAGTTCCATGAAGAGACTACGTGTAAACTACAAACCTCTTTTGAAAGAGGCTTTTTTGAAAGAATCTTTTGAAAAAGCGTCTTTTGAAAGAGAGTGTCTAGACTGCAACCACTTATTTTGAAAAAGCAAACTGCTTTTCCGAAAGAGAGCACCCAGGCAGTCTGGATGCTCTTTTTCTAAAAAGCCCTGTTTGCATTCAAGAATACCTTTTTTCCAAAGAGCGCATTCTTCCTCAGAAAATGAGGATTACCACGTCAAAAAAACTGCCGTGTTCTTTCGATTTAATTTCGAAAGAACATGGTGGTAGTCTAGATGCAGGGGAAGATTTTTTTGAAAAAAGGCCACTTTTTTTGAAAAAACCTTGTAGTCTAGACACACCCTTCTTGCCTTTTCTGCTCAGACTGCCTGGAAGAGGGATGCTGGATTTTTTAACCCTTTTCTGAAGTTGTATTGTGCCTGTCATATCCCCTTCGGCCTATTGAAGGCATCTTAGAGAATATGAGATGCAGAGTCTCAGAAAGGGGATGTAACACATTTGATACAATGCAAATTCCTAGTCAAATGGAATTGCAGTGCAGCAACTGAGAGGAATAATTGCCTCATTGTCTTTTGGTTCCTACATAAATGTCCCAGAATTCACAATGTCTAGCCAAAAGCTTATGGAAGATGTGCATAATGGGAAGAAGCCTGGAAATGACTGTAAGAAGACTTGGACTTTGCTGTTCCTCTTTTTCTTTCTTGCCTCCATTAACCCTGACTCTCCCTCCCTCCCCCCGGTAGCTTTCTTCCGACCACATTCTGAGCCTTCCAGTCTTCCCTGAGACCTCACCTTTATTTCCCATTCCACTGTCAGAGTGTGAATAGCAAACATTTATAAATTGTTAGCTCACTCCTGCCTCACAAGGTTTAACTCTACATGAAGAGCAGAGCAGGGAACTGGACACTGATCAGGGGAGCTAAAGAAAAACAGTTGAGAGAGAAAGAAACACATCATGAGAGGGCACCTGGCCACATCATGTGACCAAGTGGGGTCAGGGAAACCATATGTTGCAGAAGTGAGTGAGGGACAGGAGAGACTGTCAACACATTGCCTGACATGATAACGGGGAGCCTAGTCTGAGATTACAGAAGGCTGGCAGAGTGAAGTCTAAATGCCAGTATTATTTTATTGTAGGTGGGAGTTCTGGGCTACTCAGACAGGATCTGTTAGGTCCTAGATTAGTTTTCCAGTTTCCTTTCAGAATAATTGGCAGTAGCAAAGAAAGCTGGGATAGATGTACCTGTGATACTGAAGTCTCTGGTCCTGGTGGCACTACACTAATTCTATTGTTATTGATAGGCCAAAGCAGACTGTCTGAGTCATGGAGAAAGGAAACACATGGACTGGGTCTTTCTGGCTGCCAAATAAAAGGCTAGATTATAGTGAGCACATGGAAGAGATCACAATACAAAACATACCATATGTTACATAAAAGTATCACCCATAGGCACTTTGGGTTGTAGGCATGCTCAGAGCTGAGGAATGCTAGATGAACAGCTCAAGTACCAGGAAGTCAAAGTGATGGAGCATAAAACACAAGTGCACTTGCCTCAGGAACAAGGAAACACCATCTGAACTGGTTGCTCAGGCAGTGTTTTATGCTCTTTCAAGTAGGACAAAGGCACGCAGAATTTTGCACATTTGTTCTGCATGAGATTCTTGCTTTGTCTAGAGTCTTTATAGATGTAGGTAAAGCTGAGGGCACAGCACAGAGGTCACTCAGATCTTATATAAATGTTTGGCAATGGAGAAAAGTAGCAGTTTTAAATCTCTATTATTTAA